GTAACACAGTCAGTTAAATTTAATTAGTTGGAATATTCTGATCACAAACACTGGGATAGGCTCCAGCAGCCCCCCCGTGACCCAGGAGGATAAGCGGGTTAGATGATGAATGAACGAATGAACGAATTAAAGAGTTCTGGTCACGATTAAAGGCTGAGAGACCAGCAGTGTAGAACTATTCGACTGAGAATAGAGAAATGACTTCTGCTTCCTGTATAGTGCATCACAGAGCATCACACAGTGGGGTGGGCATGATTTCACTGCTAACCCTGTGAATGAAATCTGCCGTAGTACCTGTTAGCCATGAATCGAGCAATATAATCTGTTTTTTTTGGTATTTAGTGTCCACTCTGCCTTTATTACAGCCTCCATTCTTTTCAAAATACTTGCTTTCAGTTTTTCTGAAGAAAATCTGCGGGGATATTGTTTCACACCTACAATGTTCAGTTGTAGAAGTTGGTTGCGTTTTCTGCCTCACTCAATCCAAGTAATCCCAAGTTTAGACTCATTAGTCCATAAAACCGTACTCCACATCTCGGATGTCTGGTTTAGTGCAAATTTTCTTCAGTTTTCAATCTCCTTTTCTCAGTGAGGTTCTTCTTGATCAGCTACACATCCTTTCAGACCCACAGCGCTGAGTCGTCTTCTCACAGTGGAAGGATGGACAGAAGCACCTGTGGGTGTTTTCAGATCTGAAGCAACATCTCTCTCAAAGATGAAAGCTTCAGGTGCTTTTTATTTGGTGTGGGCAGTTTTGGTGGTCTACCATGTCTTGCATGTGGTTGTTAGGTGTCCTGTTATCTTTATATCTCCTTTTGCTATTTTAGATGCACTTGAGAAAGAAACCTGCGAGGCTGCTAAGGTGTCTTTGGGTGGTTTCTGGAGTGAACATTAGCGTCCCATTAAAGGGGAACATAACGTCATTGCTGACACAGGTGTCTTGTACACACTGAGCTTGTATACCCGCCGTAGAAAAGCACTCACCAGTAGAATGGGACCGTCTGGAGCAGCCGCACATGAGTCTCAGGTCAACATGCCTAGTGCCGAGCTTTGGCTAGAGGGGTATACAAACCCCCAGCATTGGGCTGTGGAGCCGTGGAACTGGGTTCTCTGGAGTGATGGAGCTCCATCCGGTACCTTTGGGATGAGTTGGAGTGATCCAGAACTGATCATCAGTACCTGACCTCACTAGTGCTCTTGCAACTGCAATCAGGTCCTCACGGCAATGTTCCAACATCTAGTGTAAAGCCTTCCGAGAAGAGTAGAGGCTGCTACAGCAGCAAAGGAGGACAGACTTCCCATTAATACCCTTCATTTCAGGAGAAATCTTGACTGAACTGGTGTCTAGAAACCTTTGGATATATAGTGTTGTTGTGGTAGGCAGGTTTATTGTGAAGAGGCTACTGTACAGAATTAGCTAATGTCAGTGGTTCCTCTTGTATGTAGGATACAGTATGTACAGATATGCTTACTGTGGTCAGGGTTACTGAATTGAGTTCAGTCTGCTGGGGTTTCAGTTACTGCAGGGTGGCGTACTGGAGGAAATGATTAGTTACAGTTATAACCACATTTTACTCTGTTAATGTGGCACAGTTTAATATAGATAAATATAAAATGGTTAACCAGTTTAACCCACCATAAGGCAACCAACACAGGGCTGCTCTGAGTTGGCTCTGTATACGCACCTGTCGTAAGCTGTAGTTAATTCAGAAGCTTATGCTAACGCAAGCTGCTGATCAGAGCTTTAGCCAGCAGGCATTCACAGGCTGTTTCATCATTCAGCTTAAAGACTGTTTCTGAACTGTACGTATGAGTGCGGCTCGTTCTGCCAGCCCTACTTAATGATGCACAGCACTAAGTGTTCTGGACTCTCATGTCCAACTTCTCTTCATTATAACTGAGTGATTTAGTAGATACAGATCACAGTGTATGATATAAATCCATGCTTTTTGACTCTGAGTCACCGAGCCTTGTTTTCTCAACAAAATGACCAGCCTATGTAGCGAAATGACCAAGTGGGCTACCACTGACTGAACTGATTGACTTTTTTTTTTAAATAAACATCATGAATGTAGCCTTAATGACAACGCTACCACCAAATTTCAAGCTACCAACTTCATATTGATGTTCAGGTCAAAACATAACTCTGCGTGTTAACTTGGGGTAATAATGTGTGGTAAATGTAAGGTATGTTACTGTCATTTGTGTCATGTTAGGCTGCTTTTTTATTCAGTAAAGCCTGAAATCTTATATATATGAAATGCAGTGCTGTGTTTGATGTTTCCATGAGTCGTGTTCGTGATTTTAAGGTTGTCGTGTAACAGTTAATAAGTAATAAAGGGGGTTATTGTCAAAATAATGTTGAATATATACACAAACACACGCACACACACCACCATCACTACAGAGCAGGTATTATTCAGCTGGTGGATCAGACACAGCAGTGCTGCTGGGGTTTTTAAACACCTCAGTGTCACTGCTGGACTGAGAATAGTCCACCAACCAAAAATATCCAGCCAACAGCGTCCTGTGGGCAGCGTCCTGTGACCACTGATGAAAGACTAGAGGATGACCAGCACAAACTGTGCAGCAGCAGATGAGCTATCGTCTCTGACTTTACATCTACAAGGTGGACTGACGAGGTAGGAGTGTCTAATAGAGTGGACAGTGAGTGGACACAGTGTTTAAAAACTCCAGCAGCACTGCTGTGTCTGATCCACTCATACCAGCACAACACACACTAACACACCACCACCACGTCAGTGTCACTGCAGTGCTGAGAATGATCCACCACCCAAATAGTACCTGCTCTGTGGGGGTCCTGACCGTTGATAAACTGTGTGCATGTATGCAGTATGTGTACATACTTTTACATACATATGCATATTTATATACATACACTCACATACACACAAAGCAGGTAATTGTTGTAATTATGGGTGTAAATTGTTTTGAGTGTGTGTGTGTGTGTGTGTGTGTGTGTGTGTGTGTATACATACGTATGTATATACACATAAAACACTTTGTTTAAGACCAAAAGATAAATATAAACACAAACAACACAACAGTTACCTGTTTTGAAAGTAGTAGTTGGTGTCTTGAGATGTTCTGAATTTCATCTGGGCACCTCCAGACATCACAAGGATCTGTTCAGTTCCATCAGAAGCACACCTGCTCTCATTTTATTGGAGTACTGATTTACCAAGCCTAGTACTGAGAGGTCTGGAAATGACATGGACATACATTTTGTTTGTATTTACTCTAATATAAGTGTTTTACTGAGCAGATAAACACCTACTGCCCGGATGAATGTGGGTAGTGAGTGATGCTTATCTATTAGCTTAAAACTTTGTGGTTTTATCAACGACAGCATGTGGTGCCTTTAACGGCAGCACAGCCATAAAAGGATCTGTGTGTGTGTGTAAGAGAGAGAGAAAAGGAAGGAAGGAAGAGAAAAAGAGAGAAAGAACGAAGTGGCATCACTGTCAAGAAAGATTTGACACTAGCTCCACTTTTAGTCTTTTTTAATCTCATCGGATATTGAATGACACATTTCACTGTTAATCCAACCAAAGTTACTGTTCCTGATCAGTCAGATTAAAAGTTATACTCCTAGTAAAAGTCTAACTCTTAAAGGGGGACATCAGCAATTTTTCAAAATGTCTGCGTGATTAAGTGGTGAGTGGTCTGATGGTCTTCGTTCTAGAGAAAGGTGCGATTGTTTACAGTGGAGGTGATAAGAAGCAGACCTCCGACATATTTAATGCCTCCAAAAGCCCCCTTACAGAAATGGATTTCACGAAGTGGTTATAAATACGCTGCCTGATGCCTGAGATGGTAGTGATGAGAAGGTTTTTGCCTAAAATGTGCTGCCCACTGATCTGTAGCAAAAATGTATGTAACAAGCATGATTGACGGCAGTGGGGTGACATGTGTTTTGGATATATTTAGTGCTGCTATATGAAACGCTGCCCCCTTCATGGGTCATTCGAAATTTCTTTGCCCAGGAGGTCTGCGACATAAAAGCGCTCATCACGAATTAATGTAATTTTGCTTACGGATGCTAGTGTAACTGGGCCTTTAGTGCACGTGTTGGTTTGTACAGTGACCTCACATATGAGTAAACTTATTATTATTAGCTTTTAAGTTGGAACTCATATCATCTGTAGTACTGGTCATTAATATGGTGCATGATTACACCAGAATTACATCTGTATCGGCAGATATTTGCTTAAAAATGAAGTACTAGTGTTGGACAGGTGTTTAGATTTGACCAGTATTTCAAACCAGTATCTGATGGCGTATTTATTGTACTTTAGAAGAACAGAATGTTTTGTCCAGTAGTTCTTTCTTTACTGTAAGCCCCCCTTTGTGGATGATAAATGCCCGGGCCTACTCGCTCCTCTTCCTTCCTGCTCCTAGAGTCACTTATTAATTTCACTTAATGAACTTGGGTTTAACAGAGCACTGTCCGTTCTGCTAGCCTTCTCCACAGCTGTCACTGACCTGGTGTGCTGCTGTTTCTATGACATTACAGATAACTAATTAAGTGGGCACTGGACGGCCGCGAATTATGATTGGTTGGCACATATATTCAATTATTTAATGTTCAATAACAACTACCATTTTTAATCAGTTACCACTTTTTTAGGTGTGGCTGAAGTGAGTTTAATAAAGTGACAAAACATGACTTCTGAATGTTTTAGCAGACATCTTGGCACCCGCTACGGTCCCCCAGGGGTCCACAGCCCACGATCCGAGAACCTGACCCTGGGCTGCTGTGCTAAAATATTTGTATTCTGTGCAATTTGCTGCAATTGTAATCCTACAGAATGAATGTTCTAGTTCTCTGTAATTATAATCCAGGTAAATGTAATGGCATCAGCAAGACATGTACAGGAAAATGTCAGAAAATTCCCATATCCGTGCATCCTTGGTAATTCCAAACGTAACGATTTGCCGGCTGTAGTTGATGATTTTTTTGTCTGTGTTGTTTTTAGATCAGACCGACCCCAGATGCTGACCTAGAGTCCACCTCCCCACCGCTCATTGGAACAGAACTGCTGTATTCTGTGCTGCTGTTGGGTCCTGCACTGTCCTGTTAGGGTCATGTCGTCTCTCGTCCCTGAATGGCTGGGAGGGCTCCGCCTCGAGCAGTACTGCCCCACCTTCCGGGAGGCGGGCCTCCAAACATTGTGGGATTGTCGGGAGCTGAACGCTGCTCAGCTGGAGCGCATGGGCGTGGCCTTGCCGGGACACAGGAAGCGCATCCTGGGAAGCCTGCAGAAGCTCTTCCCCTCAGAACGAGGGAATGAAGGAGAGACTGAGCGAGAGAAGGACGGAGACGAGGAGGAAAGACCCGTTCCAATGGAAAGGACGAAGTTCCGATCTCCAGGGGCGGCATCAGAATCGCTGGTGCACTTGTCTCAAACCGGGAAAGTCCGGAATCTGAGCCAGAACGTTGCCTCTAATCTCGGGACGCAGGACAAAGCTCCTCCCCCCATTCCCCCTCGGCAGACCCTGAACCGTCCGCCTGTACCTTTTACACCCATTTCTGTTACCGCGGCGACAACCGTCAGCCCTGTATCCGTGAGTGCCAGCTGTCCAGTGTCTCCGACTAGCACAGGTTTACAAGTAGCCAAGCCCGTGCTAGCCCCTGCCACTCAAACCAGGCCGACGCCTACTCCGAGGCCACGCCCGGAAAGCCTGCCTCTTAAAGAGACGGTGCCCAAGCAAGACAAAAAACCTTCTCCCATCTCCCCCTCGGTCTCTTCTTCCTCGTCAACGTCGCCCTCGTTGTCATCTTCTTCGGAGCAGTTCCACCTCTACGAGCAGTGTTCTTCCCCTGGACAGGCCGAGAAGGGCATACCCCCTCTACCTCCCAAATCTTACTCCATCGGGACCCCCAAAGAGGCTAAGGTGACTCCTCCTGGGAGACCTAAGCGCAGACCCCCCATACCACCTCGCGGCTCCACCACCTGTAACACCACGGCTCCACCCAAAAGCCCACCCACTCTCAGGTAAGGAAGAGAATTTTGCTCATCTTGTAGAACAGGGATTGGGAATTCTGGTCCTTGACGGCTGGATTCCTGCACAGTTTGGGGATTTTCCTGCTCAGGCACATCTGATTCAAGCCATCAGTTAATAACCAGTTTTGGTTGATGTATTAAAACAGGAAAATCGCTAAGCTGTGCTGAACTTTGATCCTCATCTTCCCATCCCCTTCCAGCCTGCTGCTTTTCCTTTTCTTGAAAATTTGTTTGTTTTAAATTTAAATTCAAGTGTGAAAACCTGTTCTGAAAACCAGCGTTTTAAAATAAATATAATTTTTTTTTGTTGTTTTTTTTTTGTTTTTGTTTAATTTCACCCCATGTGTCTTGTTTTGTCTTTTTTGTGTTTTCTTTTCTACTTTCCTTGCTGAAATTGGTCATGGATATAAATACTGTGGTTCATACATGCAAACCACTTTAATAGTAGAGCACTGTTTCCTTGGAAGCATTTGTGGTCACAGTGGTTAAATGTGTGGTTTTTTTCTCATTTTTTGTGTCTGTTTCATTGTCCTGGTTAGTGGTTTCTCTTCTGGATTGGGAGTGTCACAAGGTTTAGTAGTGTAATGTGATTTTCACATTCAGATGAATCATAGGTAAAACATAGACTTTAACTGTGTGTTAATGAAAGCATGACTATGTGTGTGTTGCTGACAGAGCACTCTCTGTGTGTGTGTGTGTGTGTGTGTGTGGGTGTGTGTGTGTGTGTGAGAGAGAGAGAGAATAAGCAGAAATAGAGGATTGTCAGAGAATCTGAGCATCCCTGTGGTCTCAGATCTCCAGTACAGCTTGCTGGCGCCACCCTTTGGCACTCAGTGGTTCTGCAGCAGATTCACAAAGTTGACTGATATCTGTGATATCACTGTTACTTAACGGAGTATTTATATATATATCTCGCTGTTGTCGGAGCAAAACCTCGTATCTGCAAAATGATAACTTTACAGGAGAAGGAAAAAACATACTTTACTTTTAATGTAATGGAACCAGACTTTTTTCCAAGTCATTTTGGACCATTTATTTTTGTCCATTTATCATGAAATTTACATACAATGTAGTACAATTATGTCAAAAACCTGAAAACGACAAAAATGGAGATGCAAGGTTTTGTTCCGACAGCAGCGATACATACATACATACCAAAAGGGTTAGGAGAGGAACGTGTTCACCCTGTGTTACATCACGTTTCCTTTTCACAGCACTTAATATTCGTTTGGAGACTGAAGACAGAAACTGATCCAGTTTTGAAAGTGTATTTTTTTTTTTCTAATTCTTCTTTTCTATTATTCAGCTGTGCAACCATACAGGACCTTTGATGTTGTATTTTGAGCTTAATAAGACACGTTTTCAGGGGGGACAGTCCTGGACTGCAGAAGGGCCAGTTTAGCACCAGAACTCTTTGATAATACAGTCATGTGGTCATAACGTGCAGAATGTGGCTTTGCTTTGTTATGTTGAAATAATCATGAAGGTCCCTGAAAAAGACGCTGTCTAAAAGGCAGCATATGTTGCTCCGGAATGTCTTCACTGTTAATGGTGCTTTTACAGATATGTAAGTTAACTGTTAATAGACTTCGATGCCGTGACAGACACTAGCTTTCGGACTTTATGCTGGTAACAATCTGGATGTTCATTTTATTCTTTGACTCTTTAGACCACTGTACACGTTTCCTCTGTGCATCAGTCCATTTCGGATGAGCTTGGGCCCAGAGGAGTCGGCAGCATTTCTGGACGTTCATATTTGATTCCACTGTGCATAATACAGTCTTAACATGCATCTGTGGATGCAGTGATGGTTTATTGACAGTTTGTCAAAATGTTCCTGAGGCTATGTGGTGATATCCATCATAGAAACATCCCTGTTTTTAGTGCAGTGCCGTCTGAGGGATTGAAGGTCACAAGCATTGATTTGTAGCGGTCAGCCTTTTCCTTTATGCGCATAGATTTTTCTGGATTTCCTGAGATTTCTCTGGTTTGTGCCGTAGAAGGTGAAATGCCTAAAATCCTTGCAGTCCCTTGTAGAGGAACGTTATTATTAAACTGTTGGACTATTTGCTGATGCATTTTTGGCAAATACATATATATATATATATATATATATATATATATATATATATATATATATATATATAGAATCTGTAGTCCATCTGTTTCTCTGCATACTTTGTTAGCCCCCTTTTACCCTGTTCTTCAATGTTGAGGACCCACACAGGACCACCACAGAGCAGGTACTATTTGGGTGGTGGATCATTCTCAGCACTGCAGTAACACTGACGTGGTGATGGTGTGTTAGTATGTGTTGTGCTGGTACGAGTGGATCAGACACAGCAGTGCTGCTGGAGTTTTTAAACACTGTGTCCACTCACTGTCCACTCTATTAGACACTCCTACCTCGTCAGTCCACCTTGTAGATGTAAAGTCAGAGACGATAGCTCATCTGCTGCTGCACAGTTTGTGTTGGTCATCCTCTAGTCCTTCATCAGTGGTCACAGGACGCTGCCCACAGGACGCTGCTGGCTGGACATTTTTGGTTGGAGGACTATTCTAGTGAGACCACATTCCTGTCCCTTATGGTTACATGCTGAGCAGTTAGATCTCACTGTTTTGAAATAAATGTTTCCCTTAAGTCTGGAAATCAGTGTGGAACATTAAAAATGGTCACTACCGAAACACAGAGTTTTTTTGTGTTTTAATAAAAAATATTCTGATTTTATGTGTCCATCTGTTAAAAGCAGTACATACTAGTCATGTGCTGACTAGATCTTTTAGAGTTCTGCTTAAAACGAGCTAAAATTATCATTAATGAAACAGTCACTACTGAAACATTTGTTTCAGTTTCGGCAGTGTTCAATCATTTTGGATGTGACAACATGGAATGTTTAATCGTTTAGTTTAATAGAATAAGCATAAAAATGAACAAAGCAAACAAGTTTTAGTCCAAAATCCAAGTCATTTAAATTCTGAAATGCATTTTGAACGGTTTTGTTGTAGCTATGCTAATAAATAAGTGACAACTTGGAAAGAAACAAATAGACATGTTATAAACCGTATTCAGAGAGTGTTCCAGGTCTACTTATGGGGGCTGTATGTTCGTCCAGGGTTTTTCCATATATTTTCAGACCGGTTGTGAGCATCCTAGCGCCAGTGCAAACTAAAGGAGCCAACTTCAGACACCTGACATGTTTCGGCTGATCGAATGCATTTGGTGTATGTGGTCTAAACCATCGCTTCAACACTGCAGTGATGCTTTCTGCCACATGGCGGCGGCGCTAGGCTGAAGAAACAGGTTTTTGTTTTGTTTCCTCATACGCACGTTCACTCAGCTTCCTCATTGTGGTCAGTCGGCCTCTGGTGAAAGAGACTACACTGAGTGTCGCTTTGATACACACAGTACCTACAGGACTAATGAGGAACTCTGACCATTATGAATATAAAACATCTGCAAAATTCAGCGGTTGAGACGTAAAAAGTCATTCAGAGTGTTTCAGTATGAAATGCTTCGTTGCAGAGACACGTACATTTCAGAGCTCATGATGTTTACAGCACAAATACATGTTATTTACTGTCCAAAACCACCAGTGAACCCACACAAGTCTTCTGGGTTTTGTTTGTAGTTTTGATGATGGTAAAATGGTAGCACGTCCTAAAGTACGTTCTTTACCTTACAGCGCCCTGCATGCAGCCTTCCACCATGAATCGCTTTTAAGAAATATGTATTAGGCCCAAATCTGATCTCAGTCAACCAGAATCAAACCTTTCCTGTGGTGTTTGGATTTGTCAGCCAGTAGATGAGCTAAGCAGACTTGAGGAGCTGGCTAGCATTAGCCTAGCTAGGAGGCCACAGACCCAAACATCTCGGAGCAAGTTTAATTTTAGCTTTTGGCTCAGTTGATTCATTATAATCTAACTCCAGCTTCATTTTTGCAGAATTGAACCTGTCATGTGGTGTTTTGGATCTGCAGGCCAGTAGATAAGCTAACCAGGCTAGAGGAGCTGGCTAGCATTAGCCTAGCTAGGAGGCTACAGACCCTAAACACCACGGAACGGGTTTAATTTCAGCTTTTGGCTCATTTGACTCATCATCTAACCTGTAGCTTCATTCAGTCAGAATCAGTCCTGTTCTGTGGAGAGCAGAGCTGGCAGCATGCTAGCTAAGCTAACGCTAACCCCTCTTAGTTAGCAGCACCGTTTAACTTTAGCAGTTGTTGCCAGACTGATGGTTTGACGTTTAATTGTGCGCTGCTTTCATATGTTTGACGGCCGTGTGAGTGAACTGATGATATGGTTGGTTTTTGGTTTCGGAACGAAGCTGTTGAACAATACCGACGTAATCGTAGGACCAGTCGGCGAACAGTTACATCACTGCAGCATCTGCGGAACGGTTCTGTGGCCTTGAGCGCGGTTAGCTAAGCGTGCCAAGAAAAACGTGCTGAGCAAGCGTTCCCTGTGGGAATGCCACTAGAACGGTGGCTCTACATGCTCAGAACTGAAATCGGGCAACGTATTTTATCATCGTGATAATTTGTATCACGATACGCATTTCTGAGCATATCATAGATTAGAGCTGGGCGACACTGTAGAAATGTAGTAGCATGATATCTTAAGACGTTTTTACAGTACAGTGAGTCAAGATGTTTAATTTTTTTGACATCTGAACAGACAAAGTAGTGCTACAATTAAAAAAATAAGATTTTAAACGTTGAAAAGCTGTTTGTATTCAGTATTTTACATACTGTGCTGCACTAAATCTGTTTTAAATGCTTTTAAGTGCTGAGTGTTCACAGTATGCCTAGAAAAGCAGAATTTACCACAATAACAATGCACATTTTCATATTGCTCAGCTCTCTCATGGGTATCTTCTTAACAGAAGACCCTGTTTCGGTGCAGAGTAAGCACAACCAGGCCTGTTTAATGGATTTAGCGCAGCACAGTTTGTAAAAAGGTAAATACGACTGTAGCAGGTCTCCTCCGCTGCT